ATGAGTAAAAACCTCACGAAAGCTTATGCCCAAATAAATCTGTTAGTCTTTAAGGTGCCACCAGACTCCTTGTTGTTTTTGCCATGAACAAAATTCTTACTTTATTCGTTCATTAAAGCTTTGTGTACATTACATAATTTTGTCATGGTAACCACAGTTTGGAGCCCCTAGCATGCCTATGAAATGTAACACACAAAATTGCTTTCAGTAATGTGTATGTGATTAAAATGCCACAGCTAAACACCATGTGGTCCTTCCCCTTGCCAATTTCCACCACTGCAGTGCCAATGTAGACAAATAGTTTTGGTGTAGCAGCCCAACAGTGAAAATAATCTTCTCACTCCCCCAGTGCCACTGCTTAGGTGTACTTTCTAATCTACTATCTGGGATAAAAGTTTCCAGTTGGCACTTTACTATAGAAATTTCCCTGCACAAACCATTGTCTTAATCTGTGGTTATTTTGTCACCATCAGCTACTTTTCTAGCATTGTTATTATCCCATAATTAGCTTCTCTATCAGTATGTTTCAGAAGAAGCTTCTTATGAGCATGCTGCTTCCAGCTGTCTGGGTTGTGGGGACCATCTGGGGAGATAGTTAAGCTGAATTCTGTGTGATTTAGAGTACCTTGGTCTATGACTGGGTGATGGAATGACCTAACAAGTAGGCCATTGCTGAGTTTGTCAAGCAGTGCCATGACAAGACTCGGGGTACATCTGCATTGCAGTTTTTAAAATCCATGGCAGCGAGTCTCCGAGTCCAAGTCTAAAAACCCGGGCTCATGCTACAATGCTAAAAACAGCAGTGTAGACATTGTAGCATGGGCACTGAAACCTGCCCCCAGCTCCAGCCTGAGCCCGAATGTCTACACTTTTTTTTGTAATAACGTATCATGAGCCCTGTGAGCCAGAGTCTGTAGACCTGGGCTCCGAGACTTGTTGCCATGGGTTTTAAAATACAGTGTACCCTAACAGGCTGATCTTGCACTAAAAAAGGCACTGATAACAGCCAGCCCAGTGAAAGGGAAAAAAAAGTGTGTGCTGCATTGTCTCATGAATTTCATGTAGAAAGGTTCTAGTACATGGAGCTGGTTACTCCTGGATGAATATGTACATGAACTTTGCAATATGAAATCTTTTAGCTGTTGGTCTTGTTCTCTGACTATCTGTGCGTTCCTATTTCTGTAATTCTTGTCATATCCTGGCTGGCTGGTTTTTTATTACCCTTATTTGTTAAGCCACATCTAAAAATTAAGAATGTAAATTATTTTGGGACTGCAATCTGACTTGGGGGTATTATAAAAATAAAAATATTAATTTTATGCCAACTTATTTCCTTATGGTGTATAAAAAAGGCCTGAAAGTTTTTTTTTCTCGTTTTCATCCTCAAAATATCAGAAATGTCAAGTCTTGTCATGCCTGTTTTTGTTGGAAGACTTTGATGACCTAAATATGTGGATTGAGTGCTTTCACAGCCCTTAAATGAAGGTGTTGAATCCTTAATAAAGGCATATTTTCTTTCATATTTAAATTGGTGTTAACCAAAAAAAAAAAAAAAGACCCCAAGCCAAAAACCAGTATCTTAAAAAGTTTATATAAAAATCACTTCCTATTTCAGTTACTCAAGTTTTACTTGTACAATTGCTCTGATGTAAAAACCTACTAATTCTCCAACATCCATAGAATTTTCTGAGGTGCTCAAAACCTGAATTGCGATGTAAAAAGCAAAAGGGGAAAATACTTTTTTGCCACGGGAATTGCCTCCCTTTCAGGACTTTTTTGGTATATCATAAAGAAGAAAAAAGGCACAAAACCACTCTTGGGTTTTGTACTTTTTGTGGCTGTTTTCCTTTAAAGCAAAATGTTTTTTTACAGCAGTGTATTACATGTCCACCAAATTAATTGTCACGCTGGATGATTGACCTAACAACCATAGAGAGCCATGTCATTCACATTCTAATGCTATTTCTATGAGAGAGGCATGAGAAAGTGGATGCGACTAACAGGGGAGATGCTGGAAATGTGAATGTTGCATCTACTACTTGTTTGGAGAGTACCAGCATTTCTCCCCAACTTCAAACCCCGAAGTTTGAAGAGGACATTTTTGTTGTCATCGTGTACAGCAGGAAAATTAACAAGCTCTCGAAACCTTCTTGTCTAAACTCTTTTTGGTATTTCATAAAAATAAGGTATTTTCAGTATTTTCATCCCAAATTCCTTACTCTGATTTTCTTGAAATTTAATGTAAACCAGATCAGATCATTTCCTTTCCCCCTAATGTACATTCATCCCAAGAATAACATGTTTTTAGAACAGATGTGAAATGAGTCTTCAGATTTGGCAAAATGTATTTGTCCTTTTAAAATAAGCTCTCTGTCCTGTCTCTTCTTGACATATGAGGTTAGATCAGCTGGATAAACCATACTAAATGGTGAATCTGAAATAGTCAAGTGCATTGTACCCAATTACAAGGAAGCAGAGGTAATCATTCTAGAAAATATTTATGTTCAATTGCTAAGAGTAAAAGTGACACCTAAGGCAGCTTTCAGCAGGGCTGGCTCCAGGGTTTTGGCCGCCCCAAGCAGCCAAAACAAAACAAAACAAGCCGCGATCGCAATCTGCAGTGGCAATTCGGCGGGAGGTCCTTCACTCCCAGGCGGAGTGAGGGACCGTCCGCCGAATTGCCGCCGAATACCTGGACGTGCCGCCCCCCTCCGGAGCGGCCGCCCCAAGCACCTGCTTGAGAAGCTGGTGCCTGGAGCCGGCCCTGGCTTTTAGTTAAGTCTCTGGAATTTTAAATGTCTGTGCATGTATTTGGAAATCATTACTTAGATTTAGTCAGCACTATTATTTAGGGTAGGGTGGACTTTTTGGCAAAGTGGTTCTCCAGTTTCTCTATAACTAGAAATACCCGCAGGCAGCCAACCTTTGGGATAATTAGTGCTTATTACAGTCTCCAAGACTTTATGTTTGGAAACATGTTAATGAAAATTCACCATCTGCTGGGCTTCTCTGAATTTACTCCATATTTACCGTCCTTTCCTCCATATATCTTTTTCTAGGAAGCTGTCAGCAACAGAAGCCAGGCATACCTTTATGTACACACGGTCCTTGTACATAAAGGTAAAACACCTGGATCAGCTCTAATACTTAGTTATTTCAAGTGAAAAGAGTATAATACTGTTATTCTTACGTAATCTGCCACAATTAGGTATAAACTGGACAATTTTTCTTTATGCTTTCTGTTTTTCTCTTGCACAAATGTTTTACACGGGATACATCTGACATGTGGACTCTTACAGGTGTGGCTCATACAAACAATCCAGTCAGCCAGGAAAACATAGTGGACGAACAGGCCTTACCAATACTGGTTCACCTGCTTAAAAATCATAATTCTCTTCAGATAAAGGTGTGGAATAATGGTGTGTGTGAGGGGGTTTGTATGTATGTGTGAGCATTTTCTGTGGCTGAAAAATATTCTGAACTGAACTTTCTGAGAACACTTCTTGCCATCTTTTTGCAGCTTAGAGCATGAGAAAACAAAATTAAATAAATAATATCCCTCCTTAACAAGACACTTCAAAAGCCACCTACTGATGAATAATTGCAAACTATGCCTAAAAAACTGCTTACTTTTAAGTGTATGAAGGCAATCATAAAAGTAATTTAAAACTTAAAAGATGTGCTGTAAGGATTCTGTTTTTCCCTGTGGATTTATCTTGAGTAAGTTTTTTTTTCTAATGAGCTAATTGTTCATGAATATTGGACTTCCCTCTGCTAATTCATAACATTCCTTTTGAGTGTGTTTTTTATGCAGGGAATAACATAAGACAGTTTGATATGCTGGCACATCTTCAGTGCACAGTGAGGCATATGGGACCAAACCTACCTGCTGGTCATAGAATCATAGAATATCAGGGTTAAAAGGGACCTCAGAAGGTCATCTAGTCCAACCCGCTGCTCAAAGCAGGATCAATCCCCAGACAGATTTTTGCCCCAGATCCCTAAATGGCCCCTCAAGGATTGAACTCACCACTCTGGGTTTAGCAGGCCAATGCTCAAACCACTGAGTTATCCCTCCTCCTATGAGAGCATGTGAATACTTTGCTTCTCTAAAGGTGCAGTAAGTAGAAGTATAATATATCCACAATTCTGGAGTCTTCATTCCTTCGAATATGACGCTTGGAATGACCAGGCTCAGAATGCTTTAAATCTGTTTTTTGAGACATTAAAGCTGTAGTGAGGATTGGCTGAAAAACGTGTGAATCTGGTCATACAGAAGCATGGCTCTGCATGTGAGTGTTACTGCTATCTTCAAAGAACAAGAATGACAAGTGGGTCATCTTGTCTCTCTAATCCTAAAGTATAGGTATAATTTAAACTACATAAATAAACCAATTAACCAAAGACCTTGTAGTGTAATGGACAAAATACCATTTGTTTATGGTATATAAATTACAAGAGCAATCAGTTCTCACTTCAAGGCACAAGCTGATCATGATTTGAGGTCAGGAACATAGGAATTCACATACTGATCCAGACCAGAGGTCAATCAGCAGACCAGTATGCTTTAAAGGAAGATGCAAGAAACTCTGAAGAGGGCAATTAAGAAGTAACCTGACCATACAGGAAGTTTTTTCTTAACAGCTTTAATTCAGTGCCTGGCTTATGCCATGAAGCATGAAGGTTTATATCCCTTGAAATTTACAAAATATATTTTTTTTATCTAGTATAAATGTGGATGTTTCCATTATCCATATAAATATTGAATCCTTTTTTTTTAAACCTACTAAGTCTTGGCCTCAATTATATTTTGTTCAAGTGAGTTTTCCTACATACTTAGTTTTCTAGTATAAACTGATGTGTTGCTTATTAAATAAAATATGCCATGAATTTGCTCTGCAAAATGTAAGTATATAATATCTGCATTTTTCTTTACAATATATATTTAGGTTGAAGTTGCATATTCCTTGGCTTGCATTGTTTTAAGGAACAGTAATTTACAGACTGTGTTACAAGAGGAGGAAGGTTTCGATTATAGTGATGTTCTTGAACTTCTTAATGCACCTGATAAGGTACTGTACTTGGTAAAGTAGCAGTATTAATTTAGGAAAAAGTATTCTATATTACTGTTATAGTGTCACCATAAGCCAAATATGGCATACCAAATTTACTATACTGTAGCTCCAAATGTTTACTGTATGGACTTCACATGTCAGACACACATATCAAAAGTGTGTCCTTTTAATATAACTATTTTTTAAATATTCTTATGGGTTGGGTTAAACCTTACTGAAGCCAGTGGGTGTAACAGCTGCTCTTAATTTGATAGCTGTAAGAAACAGTTAAGTTCATTTATAGCAGTCCCCACCCAAAACAAAGGCATATGGAGAAGGAAGCTGCAGACATAGTCTGGTCCAGGTCGGTGTGTGTCCCTGACAGAATCCTAGAGAGAAGACTTTTGGGCCTTGTGCTGGCTAAAAGAGGCTTGAGCATGTGAGTAAGGAAACAGTCTCATATTATTGGGTCCTCGTGTGTTCAGGGAAACAGTACATTCTTTGTAAATAAACAAAATTGCATCAGAGAAAAACTCCAACTCCATCACAAATTTCTCCCCCTAACTAGAACAGCTTACAAAGACCCCAAATTGTTGGCTACCAGCTTGAGTCAAAAGGGGTAACAGTATAATCATTTAATAAGTTCTATAGTTTTATTTAGATTTGGACATACAGTTTTGAAATTAAAAAATGTATATGATAGGCTGAAGTACAGTTGCAGCAGCATTAATGGTATAAATGCTATCACAATTTCAAAACTAATATATTGTTCAGAATCAAGGCACACACTAAATTCATGACCACAAGATCCTCAGTTTAGGAAGAAGCTACTGACTACTGCAAACAGCGTCAAACCTTAAACCCAGAATATGTGTAAGTGACTTGGTAGTCCTTTCCATCATGCACACATCCTCTGGAAGTGCTAATCATTCCTGAGGACAATTGTGCCTGATGTGGAAGGATGTTGGAGGGGATCAGCACCCACTCCATGAATAGAAGGTGGGACTAGAGCTCATGCCATTGAGAGCTGAGCTTTATGGATCTTGACTCTCCTTTCCCCCTTCATTGGAGTTGTGGATGTCACTTCACGCATCAGTAAACCTTTTATTGTTGCTACTGCAGGGGGCAGAGGGAGATCAGGTTTGGGTCCCCATTAACACAGGACAAAAAGCAAGGTTAATTATATTGGTTGGGAGTTAGCAAGATTCAGAGTATGTGCATGTTCCTCTTGCCCCTATCACCAGAGAGAGGGATTTCTTTAGGCTGAGGGTCCTTTACTTTGCTCCCAGACTCTCCCTTCCATTTGAAAGCAGTGAGCTGCAAAATCACTGTTGGGCTTCATTGCTACATCCATCCAGTCTTCTCAGCTGTCAGCCACAGAGGCTTGTATTTTGCAGTGGATTTGGGGAGGCTTAGCACATGCTCAGTACCTTCCCAACAGCATCTTCCAGCTTCTGGTAGTTGGGGTGAGGGAGGCTAGACAGCCATATGGGTGCCTCTGCGTGTGTTCTTTTTCATTCTGGGGACAAACAGACCTCTGCAGCTGTAGAGTCTAGCTGAATCACACAGTTTGTGCTGTACATCATCTACCTTATGTTTTACACTGCTGCCCCTCACCATAGTGTCTGAAATACTGCCATGTAAAATCAAAAGCAATAGTGAAGTCCTTAGTGTAGAGTCTCTGACACGTCAGGGACACTTCAGGAAAATCTGCAGGGATAGGGTTTGTTTTTTTAAATTTTATTTATTTCATTTTTTGTTCTGTCTGTTTCAGGAGGGATTTTTTTTCTTTTGTTCTTGATTGGGGTTTTTTTTTGGTTAAAGAGAAGTGTCAGTGTGATGAGTGTCATTCTTATTGTTATCTAGTCTCTGAGGGTTTGGCCTGCAGTATTTATATGAAAATCAATAAAAACAAAGATGAAAAATATGAGGATAGGGGTTGGTAATTATTTTAACATATCAAAGAACACAGTATTTTATTCTTTAATTTTTAGATAGTATGAAAACTTCAGAGCTTGCATGTTTCTGTATTTTTTTGTTTAAGGATATTTGTTTACGAGCTGGATATGCTTTAGCCCTTTTTGCATACAACAATCCTGTCCAACAGTTCCTGATATTGGAGACCGGCGCAATTATGATGTCTACATTTGAACCTTTTCTACGATCAGAAATTGAGACAGATAAAGCAATGGCTGCATTTCAGGTATAGGAATAGGGCTTTTACTCATAACACACAAAACAGATTATACATTTTGGGCCTATGTGTAATGTTATGGTTATTAGTATAACTGATAGAACTGATTTTTACACAAAAATATTAATATAAAGTCCTTTTCAAAGAGCTTAAATGGCCGAATATAGTAACACTTATAAAATGTGTAAATTACATTACAGAGTCTAAAGATCCTAGTCTTCTCTGCAAGTCTCCGTCATGAACTATTTCAAAAATAATCAGAACTTGGGACTGTTTTTGATGGTAGAAGAAAATGTTGGCTATAGACTTGATCCTGTATCTTTACTCAGACAAAAATCAATGGGAATTCTGTCTGATTAAGGAGCGCAGGTTTTTTCCCTATGTGTTTTTAATTTAGCATAAGAAAAGAGTAACCATCGTATCAAGATCATTTTAACAAACCAACACATGTGTAGAGTGGTGGAAAAGTCTGTAACACCTGAAGATGTATGAGTTATATGAATAAAATTGCTTGTATTGCACTGACATGTCTATACTAAGGTTGTGCCTTTTTCTGCCAATAGGCAAAGGTCCAAAGTGCAAGTGATAGGGTTGAAAGTGTCTTGTAAACGTACAGCACTATACACAATAAGTGATTTTTTATTAATAAGTGAAGAAAAAAGGAAACGGAAGAAACCTACTTAAACAATCTGTATCTTTTAAAAATTGTCTGCCTTTGATTTCAGATTGTTGTTTTAGCCAGAGTCATAGTGGATGTGGACCAAGTTACTTTGTCTGCAAGAGGTGTTACTATTTTAGTTGAACTACTAAATTCTGAAAAGACAGCTACTCTTGTTCTAACAGGTAAGAATTATAGAAGATGAGCAAAAACTCATAGCAATATAAAGTTAAGCATTTCCATAAAATACTGTTGTTTCTCCAAAATGAGATATTGAACAGTAGGATAGTGAAACTTACTGTTTAATATTAGATGGCAGACTCAGGTCAGGAGATTGGCTCTTCCAAAATGCCTGCACAAAGGAGTAAGAGGACATAAGGCAGAGGTGGGCAAACTATGGCCCGCGGGACCGTCCTGCCCGGCCCCTGAGTTCCCGGTCGGGGAGGCTAGCCCCCTCCCCCACCACCTCCCCAGCTGCCCCTCTTCCCCCGGAGTCTCAGAGCACCGCGCCACTAGCGCTCTGACCCGCCGCTCCTGTCGGGCAGCGCGGACAGCGTGACTGGCTCCGGCCGGGCAGCGAGCTCCTGCTGCTCTGAGCAGCATGGTAAGGGGGCGGGGGCTGGATAAGGGGCAGTGGTCCCGGGGGCAGTCGGGACAGAGAGCAGGGGGTGGTTGGATGGGCGTGGGAGTCCGGGGGGGCTGTAAGGGAGTGGGGGTATGGATAGGGGTCAGGGCAGTTGGGACAGGGAGCGGGGGAATTGGATAGGGGGTGAGGTCCTGGGGAACGGTTGGGGTGGGGGTCCCAGGAGGGGGTGGTCAGGGGACAAGGAGCAGGGGGTGTTGGATGGGTCACGGGTTCTGAGGGGGACAGTCGGGGGGCAGGAATGGGGTGGGCACCAGGCTGTTTGGGGAGGCACAGCCTTCTCTACCCAGCCCTCCATACAGTTTCGCAACCCCGATGTGGCCCTTGGGCCAAAAAGTTTGCCCACCCCTGACATAAGGCATCTCTTGGTCTGCTTACAGCATGAGGGAGGGAGGAGCAGCTGCCTCTGCAGGGCTTTTACTCCCACTCCCATGCCCCACTATGGTCTGCCTAGCATAATTAAACTAATGTAGAGGGAGAAGTAATCTGCATTAGGAAAAAAGATTTGGCAGATTACTTTCCCCCCTCTAACAAGGTAGGACCCAGGGACTGAATTGTGACTCTGAGACACAATTTAGTCCCTCATCTGTTTCTAGGGCAGCACAGGTTACATGCTGCCCCTTACCCTGGGCAAACTGTAGATTTATAATCTGGCCCTCCATTTTTATTCAATTCTTGCTCAGGCAAAATTCATATAGACATCAATGAGAGTTTTGCTTTGGTAATATATGAGTAAAAACTGAAGAAGGATTTCAAGATTTTGCTCAAAGACGATAAAGGAGATGAATTTAATAAAATACTGCTACAGTATTTTAAAATGATTCCTCTTACAAAAGCAAATTTCTTGGAGGCAGAAATCAACATTTTAGATGCAATAGATATAAAAAACGTATTGAGAATATCACCGTAGAAATAATGGCAGAAGACAAAAGACTGTGGGTATGACGACTTCCCTGATAATATTTAAACACATTTTGAAAAAACAAAGAATTTCATTAAGATTATGCAGGAGACTAGAAGTGAGCAAACTGATAATATGTTTGACATTATATGATGTGTAATTCCAGTGTCTAATTAATTTGTAGGGAAGTTATTGGCTAGCCTGGCTCATACAAGAGCAGGTGTTCCAGAAGCAATTACTGAACTAGGAACTATCAAACGTCTTTGTTATCATTTGTACTCAGATAAAGAAGAGGTAAAATTTCTCCCATCTCCCCAAAATAAAATGTTCATGTTGTGGTTTTAAATTTATTTTTCTTCTTTATTAATTAGATCTATTTGTTTGAAAAATTAGCTGATGAATGTTAGCTTTATATGTAGTAATAGAAATATTTTATAAAACCTCACTAAACAACCAAAAAGCCACATTAAAAATAAAATAACTGTGTAAGACAAAGATCCTGGCCCCATTGAAATCAATGGCAAAATTTCCACTGACTTCAGTGGAGCCAGGATTTCCCCCAAAGGTTTCAGTGTATGTTTGTTAAATTCTTAAATCCTGATCATGAATGGTAAATTTCTTACCTGATAATTTCCTTTATAATAGTAGTATCTACCACTATTCTGAGATGTATGTGAAGTAGTTAGCAGTGAACAGAAGTCAGGAGAAATAAGAAACAAGATTGAGATAAGGAAGACACCCCCTCAACTCCAAGTTAACACTGCTCTACAGCCAAAATGCTTCTGAAATAAATGAAGTCAAACTTTACTAATTCTGGCTCACTGAGAAGGAAAATGATGCTTAAAATTGTTGATTGGCTCTAGTTTTCAAGATATGCTATTGGGTCAATATATACGACCCTTGACTTGGGAATGAC